ATATTCCGCATGTTTTCCACATTGCTTGTGTCCCAAGCACCGATGGGTCGGTCAAAGGATGTGGCTCCGTAAAACAGGAAGGACATGTCCACGACTTCTGAGGTGTTCCATGACCCGATGGGTTGGTTGAACTTCGCAGCATAGCCGAACATGCCCTTCATGTCTCGGACGTTGCCAGTGTACCAAGCATCAATTGGCTCATTGAAACTGGACGCCTTGAAGAACATCTTGTGCATTGTCTTCACACTTGACGTGTTCCACGCACCTTGGCTCGACTCACCGGGTCTTGGCGGTCGTCCGGGTTCGACCATGGGTCGATGTCATGGCTCCTGCGCGGGGGGGGTGACCATGGATTGGGAGGTGCCCAAACTTGTTCAACAAAAATCACTGAAATGCATGTGAACGGGCACCGAAACGTTCATATTCATGAACCAGTGTGCGGCCGAAAGTCCGATGGGCATGTTGAATACAGTGGCTCCATGGAACATGAAGCTCATGTCCTGTACCTTCGAAGTATCCCATGCGCTGATGTTCTCATTGAAGTCGTCCAAGTCCTTGAAGAGGCCACTCCTTGGAGTGAACATGTGTGACGGGCCCTCCGGATTGAGACAAATCCTCTTACTACTTCCTTTTCTTTAAGGTCTTAGAACGGTCGTCTTCCATTGCGGTGCGATATGCCAGGTACGAGTGGAATGATGTCCATTCGAGGCGAACGGGCGGGCGCAAGGCGGGATTCTTGTTATGAGGGGAGATCATGCCTCTCAACCCCTCTCAAACACGGAGGAAATGTCAGATGCTGACATCAAAAACCAAACGAAAATAGAAGCCATCCGCTCTTGAACAAGGTTCATGTTGGTCACCGCCGACACGTTCCATTCACCAGGTGCTCCCCACAAGGAGGTCAGCTGCAACTTGGTGGCCTCGTCCGCAGTGCGCCACCTCTCAGAGTGTCGGCCACGTGTTTTGCTCACGGAGAGGTCGGATGGGAAGATCTTGAAGGGGGATCAACACCAGTCGGAGGAACAACACCTGCAACGCCTGCACCGCCTGCACCACCTACCACCTGACATAAGGAGGGCTTTGGAACATCACTGGTCACAACCATGGCCATTTGGTGGTTTGTGGTAAGGAACACATCATGGAGAATACCATGCTCCATGCTATTTGCAATGGTTTGATCGTTTGAGGTTCTAGGTCGCTCTACCTCATGACTATTTTCTGAGTTTGACACATGACGCTTTCAACCGCGCTGCTTTGTTCTCCCAAATGCGCACCATGCGGGATCATGCAAAGGGTCTCTTTGTGCCACCGAACATCTTCTACGCCGCATCAACCGAATCGACTGCGACGTCATCGACGACGGATCCGAACGCGTGGCGCGACGCGACGTCGCCCGCGGCACCGGGTCGTCGCGGCAAGAAGGCCAAGGCACTGGAGCAGTGCATCTCGCAGCTCTGCTCGGGTGGAGAAGTGAGATCCATAAACTCCAGAGAGCAACATGCACAGCCAGCATCGAAGCCAGAGCAGCGCCACCATCGCTGATGATTCCGAGGCCTTTTGTTGGAAGTACTTTTGGTGCCCACCCGATGGGCTGCCGAATTCGTGAAGACGTCTGAGCCACAGAAGACCCATGCAGAAACCAAGAAATGACCAGATCTCGCCATGGTATTCTTACTCGCCTAAGACATGTAAGTGAACTGTATGACCGCAACGGCCGATGTTCCTCGTCTTTGTCTTTGACTGCACCGTCACCGAGTACCCTGCCAAGTACCCTGGCATCAGGCTCTCGGATGACTTCGCTTCCGACTTTTTGGTCCCCAAGTCGCCTTCGACTTGTGCTAGATCCATTGCAACTAGACTTCTGCCAGGCTAAACTTCTCGGCTTTTGCACATGCGAACGAATTAGCTGTCAGACTTCTGCTAGACAGAAAAGACGTCCTCAAGATCGGCTCTGTTTTGGTTCCACTCAAAGGGCGGAACCAAATGGATGAGAAACAGCTGAGGTTTCATCAAGCATGGCCCAACGAAGACTCTTAAGTTGTATTGGGACTATAGAATGATCTAGACATATCTAGACCAATGAAATAGAACAATACACACACACAAAAAAACCCTGGGAGTCAAAGACTATATAAAGAATGGTCTTTAAGGGAACTGAAAGGACACTTCCTTTACTCCAGCCGGTCAAAAAATTAGTCGAACTGGACTCCAGCCGGGTATACATCACTCTCTCTCTCGTGTTCCTCTCTACTTTTGCTCCAAACCCAACATGTAACGACCCCTCGGCCCTCCGTGTGCTCCAGATCTGGGCCCCGACGTGAAGATCTCCAGCATGGCGGGGGGGCAACGGAAGCAACGGTCCCTGCGCCGATCCGATGGGACGAAAAGGGGTGTTTCATCGGAAGGGTCTTCCAGGGAGAGTCCTTCCGGTCTTGGGTCCTTCGTCTCTTCGGGTTTTCCATCTCGGAGATAGAAATGGAACAGGTATCTTTGAGAGATAGAGAGACGTCACAACAGTGCTGCCAGTGCTTGACATGAGGCTGGAGTACTTGATACGTCTCAAGTCTCTTCTTGCAACTGGTGAAGGAATTCGAATGCATTCACTTCGATGGTGCAAAAATCGACAGCGATTCTTTGGGATGAACTCAGAAATGGATGACCCATAGAGAAGTGGGACTATCGTTGGAAGCCCAATTTCCTTTTGTGCGCAGGCCGATGGTCTGGTCTGCTAGGTTTCGATCCGAAGAGTCGAGTTGCTGCCACACTGTGCGTCCGTGCGTCCCACGTGCGTCGCACCTGGAGACCATGTCAACCGACGAAGCTCGGTCGAAGCTCGAACTGACGTCCCGGGCTAAGGCAGGTGACCGGGGGCTTGAGGGTGCTAAGTTGCCTCAGGCGAAACGCGCACGGGCAAGTGCTGGAGCGGTTGAAACTTGAGGCCAAGCTGTGGTTTACCACACATGCCTTAGGAACTCAAGACGCAAATGAATGGAATAGCTGGATGTTTTGTCACAAGAAAAAGGGAAGAAGGATGAAGAAGGGGTCCTTTGGGCGCACACCAAGGGTGCTTGCTCCTTCGCAAGTCAGGTTTGGAGATGCGAACATCTGAGACAAACACTTCAATGAGTGAATCACCTTCGTCTGTCTCGTCTCCACACCCCTCACATGCCACCAGATACGCCGTTCCTCGAACAGAAACGCATCCGACCCTCCGTTCGCTCCGACCGACCCTCCTCCGAGCGCCCCAGGCTTTCTTCCTTGCCCTGGTGGACCCAGGCCACGGCGCCCGGCCCATCCTCGGGAGGACCGAGCGGACGGACCGAGCGGACATGCGAGGACATGACGGTCAGGGACCCTTTTGGGAAGGTGTCCCAAAAAAAACCAATGCATATCAATGCATCCATCGACTGCAAACTTCTTGGCAGTCATTCAAATTCGAACACATGCCCTTCTTCCACTTTCGCAGAAGTGCAGTCTACCAAGCTGGAAAGCCTTGCAAGGGCCTCTTTCTGCCTGTCCGACTGCAAACTGTTCTCAAAGTCTTTGAGCTGCCTTTTACACCTGCAGGTACGTAGTGGCTGTCTATCCAGGCCCAGCGAACGGACAAGCCACTCCGCTTTTGTGATGTTGCATCCTGCTTCACCACCTTGGGGCTTCTCCATTCGTCGGATGATGGATCATTGATAGTTCTTACAATTCCTAGGGATCACTTACCAAGTACCAAGAACATCATTTACCAAGTACATGAGTTTTTAATAGGGAGAGCCCCAACCAGGCTAGGCTTTGGCGTGTTTTCCTTCTTTCAAGGGGTCTTTGGGAGGTCAGACACACAAACTTGGAGATCGTCCTCTCTTGACAACTCTCCAACCCGGCGACCCGACCCGCCCACACAGCTCCAACGAAACCAGGACTTTCGGCTGGGCCGGAAACTGTAGAACCGGATCACTTCGAATGTGTTCCGACCCAAGGGAGAGCTGGATTTCCTGACCCTTCCTTTCCTCGCGTGGATCGATGTTGGGCTCCAAGGCGCCAAGTAGTCTCGACAGGGCTGCCAGAGCTGGGTGAGGATGGATTTCACCTGGCCCGGACGGCTTTCGGGTGTCCACACGGAGGGTGACGGCTGCGTGGCCGTGACGGTACACACACCTACGGAAATGTACGTCTTGAAAAATTCCTCAACACGACCAGGTTGGCTTCTTTGATTCTTCCATCTCCAAGAGTCGTGAGGAAGATCCTCATGAGAGTCACCCGTTCAAAGGTTCAAGGCGAAAACGACTCATCCCTTTCCCTTTCGCTCCCTTTTTCTCTGCCCTTGGGGTCTTGGACAAACTGTTGAAGGATTCTGTAGAAACATGTTCCAAAAAAACTACATAGGTGCCCCAAAGGATTTTGTAGACCCTTTCTTTTTTTCGAGTCTTCTTCTGGGACCCTCAGACCCTCGAGTCTTCTTGGCGCCTTGTGCACGTGGCCTTGCAAGCCCTTCCGTTCCAGGAGCGAGCGCCGCGACCTGACCGGACGACCGTGGACGGACCGGACGACCGTGGACGAAGGGCGCTTGTGTGTCACATCTAGTAGCTGGGTAGAACAAAAGGACAGGTAGTAAGCATTTTGCAGTCTTCGTTTTTGTCTTTGTCTTCTTTCTTTTCTGTTTCTTTTTTTTAAAACTGCGACGGGACCCGTTCTTCAAGGGACCCATGGTTTGGTGGGTGTATCCCGACATGAACAGCAATGCTTGGACCCAGAAAAGAATCTTCGTTCGCAACACAACTAC